CAATAGCTGGGGTTGTCCCTTTTTAACCCAGCGCTGGGTTATATTTAACCCAGCATTTTTTAGAGTGTAAGATTACGGATATTTACCTGCATTAGATTGGTACATAATGTATGGTCATTGTTATATGTGACCCTGGACCACAAAACCAGTCTTAAGTCGCTTGGGTATATTTTTAGCAATAGCCAAAAAAACACTGTATGGGTCAAAATGATCGATTTTGTTTTATGCCAAAAATCATTAGGATATTAAGTAAAGATCATGTTCCATGAAGATATTTTGTAAATTTCCTACCGTAAATATATCAAAACTTAATTTTTGATTAGTAATATGCATTGCTAAGAACTTCATTTGGACAACTTTAAAGGCGATTTTCTCAATATTTAGTTTTTTTTGCACCCTCAGATTCCAGATTTTCAAATAGTTGTATCTCTGCCAAATAATGTCCTATACATCAATGGAAAGCTTATTTATTCATCTTTCAATTGATGTATAAATCTCAATTTCGAAAAATTGACCCTTATGACTGGTTTTGTGGTCCAGGGTCACATATAACACTTAATACATGTAACATCAGTATAAAGAAATAGCCAGTGACTTACCATTTACTTGCAATGGACGTAATTGCTTACATTCTTCAAAATATCTTCTTTTGTGTTCAACAGAAGAAAGAAACTCACGCAGGTTTCGTAAAACTTGAGAATGAGTAAATGATGACAGAATTTTCAATTTTGGGTGAACTATCCCTTTAATGCACAATATCATCATAATAGCCATATCTATTGTTAACTAAAACCAAAGCTGAAGGTTTTTTTTATATATAAAGTTTTCTAAAATTACTTAAACTAAAACCTAAGCAAAAATAAGCTATATAAAAATATAAAAATTTATTATAAACATGACAAAAGCACAAAACAAAACTACTAAAACTTGAACTAAAATGAAAATGAAAACTACAAATATAAAAATAAAAGCTTAATTCAAAATATTACTAAATATGATAGTATAATAATAAATAATACTAATAATATTAGTAAACAAAATATATATAAATGATACTCAAATAACATTGGATTCCACACTCTACCTCCTTCCTAAACATCATGCTTATGGAAAATCAGTTTTGAAGCAGTTTAATAAATGCCTTTTTCTTTCATTTATGTAACTTTCATTTTTATGGCTGTGATTCACACCACTTATATAACTGTAAATAATGATCACTCTTTCACGTCACATGTTTTCATTATGTTTTCAGTCAGCATGGTAAAAAAGAAAGAAAAGAAAGTGTGGATGAGAGGCAGATATGGCAGTGTTATGTGAACAAGCATCTAGCAAAATATTTTTATTAAAGGAAAAAGAGTTTTAAAATGATAAAATAGTAGATTGTTGTTTAAAATGGAGTAAAAGTCATATTTAAAGTGCTTTGAAAAGTGATGTTAGTTCTGAGAAAACTTCCAGCATAATTTATCTGCAGATGCCAGTTGGTTTGACATTGTTGATGGTATTTGTACCCTATACTCTATAAATCTTATGATTGAGCTGTATATAAACCAAGACAAATCACAAACTTGTGACATGCATTACAAGGCTTTGATCTTTTATCTCTATCATCCACCATGCTAATTATTCACAGTGACTGCCCCTCCACATGAAGCTCATTCGATATGCATGATGCAAGCCTAAGGATGTCCATGGTCTAAATTCTGTCCCCTTTTTAGTCATGCCCCAGATCCACAATCAAATTTACAAATTCACGTGACCTTATAATCAGTCTTCAGAACACGGCATTGCATTGAAATGTCCCTCATTATTTGTCAGGCTTTTTGGGATCCCATGCCAGGACGTTTATGTGAGTTTGGTGAACCAGATCAAGGCCTGGAGGGGCATGTCCGGCTGTATGACTGTTGGACAGAGATGCCTGTATGAGGTAAGATCATCTAAGATCGTACTGTTTGCTAAAGCAAGCATCACTATTATTTTTATTGCTCATGCTTTAAAAGAAATAGTTTGCCCAAAAATGAACATTTTCTAGAAATGAACTCACCCGCAGGCCATCAAAGATGTAGATGAGTTTGTTTCTTCATCAGAACAGATTTGGAGAAATGTAGCATTACATCACTTGCTCACCAATGGATGATCTGCAGTGAATGGGTGCCATCAGAATGAGAGTCCTGATAAAAAACATCACAATAATCCACAAGGAATCCACACCACTCCAGTCCATCAATTAATGTCTTGTGACATAAAAAGCTCTGTTTGTAATAAATTCATCAAGACATTTTTTAATTCAAACCTTGTTTCCAGCTAAAATATGAGTCTTCTATCCATAATATAGCTTTCTCCAGTGGAAAAGTCATCTTGTCTGATTCAGGATAGAAATATGCACAGATCAAGCACCGTTTACAAGCGAAAACAGTCCAAAACGGTGGATTTTGATGTGAGAGGACACCAGGGGATGAACTTTTACACAGAAGGAAGTATTATTATGGATTATTTCAGCCAGAAGCAATGGTTTACATTTAAAATGTATTAATGATGGATTTGTTTTTTTACAAACACGCAGCTTTTCACTTGACAAGATGTTAACTGATGGACTGGAGTGGTGTGGATTTCTTGTGGATTATTGTGATGTTTTTTTATCAGCTGTTTGGATTTTCATTCTGACGGCACCCATTCACTGCAGAGGATCCATTGGTGAGTACGTAATGCTAAATTTCTCTAAATCTGTTCCGATGAAGAAACAAACTCATCTACATCTTGGATGGACTTTGAATTTTTGGCTTAGCTATTCATTTACATAAACATTTCAACCTGAATTGCCATCTAAAGGTAGAGTACTGTGCAAATTCACAAAAACGTAACTGTTTTAAGCCATTTACTCTATCTATTTTTGCCATTAATTGTAATAATCCAGTGAGATTTTTGAATGCACAAGGAGTCTGACAACAGCTGGCAGATTTCCTTAGAAATGTCCACAAATCTAGTGAACTGTTGTCTTCTTCAGCTGGTTTCTGCCACACCTTTCCACATCGCTGCCAAACACACCAACAGACAGTGGACCAGCAAAGAGGATCTGAACTTTCACCTGGTGGCAACCGAAGAATCTGTTTGCAGAGTGACGGTAAAATGCTCTGCTGCCAATATTTCCTTTCATAATGATGAGGCAGTTATTACTTATGTTGTCTCCTAAAATTGTATTGTACCTATATTTCAATGTTTCTGTTATAACTTTATTCTTATAAAAATGAGAATGACAGAAAGCCACAAATGGCTACAGAACAAAACATATGTTTTGCTGGACTACGGAATCAGTCAAAGTCAGGAACATTCAAGAACTCTACATTCCCCAATAAAGTTTTGGTTCATTTTAGGAAAAAAAAAAGCATTCTTTTCTACTTGAATATATTTTATTTATTCCTGTGATGGCAGTGCTAAATTTTGAGCAGCCATTACTCTTAAAGGAACACTCCACTATTTTTGAAAACAGGCTCATTTTCCAACTCCCCTAGAGTTAAACAGTTGAGTTTTACCGTTTTCGAATCCATTCAGCCGATCTCCGGGTCTGGCGGTAGCAGAAAATAGGCTGAAAATAGGCTAACTTCCGTCAACATAACCAACGTGACCACCTGCTTGCACATGGAGCGTGCTGGGGACTATTTTCAGGCGCTGCGTAATATCATTGCGCCTGCTGCACCCATGGTACGGCAGCAAAGTTCCTTGATTATTACGCCGGACTGAGAGTATAGTTCCTAGCCATATCAGCCTAGAAAATCGCAACTTTTCATTTTCCGTCGGTCTTAGTACACGATGTAACTACAGAAGAGTCAAGTTTTAAATAGGAAAACTATCGAAACTCTTTGGTCATTTTTGAGCGAGATGCTAACGGTCTAATCAGATTCAGTGATCTATGCTAAGCTGCAGCTAAAAGTGCTACCGCCAGACCCGGAGATCGGCTGAATGGATTCGAAAACGGTAAAACTCAACTGTTTAACTCTAGGGGAGTTGGAAAATGAGCCTATTTTCAAAAATAGTGGAGTGTTCCTTTAAGTGTCACATGATCCTTCAGAAATCATTCCAATATCCTGATTTGATGCTCATGAAACATTTCTTGTTATTATCCAAGTTGAAAACAGTTGTTCTACTTCTCTCTCTCTCTCTCTCTCTCTCTCTCTCTCTCTCTCTTTCTCTCTCATAATTTGAGTGGTTAAAAACTTGGTGACTTTATTGGATATACAGTCTGACAAACAAAAAAAAAGGTCACATCTTTGCTGTTTGTGGCCAAAATTCACAAACGATAAGAAAAGAAATAGGAAAACCCCTAATAATGAGGATTTTTTTTTTTTTTTAAATGAAGGGGTGAGAATATTAAACATCCAGAGTGCAGAAGATTCACCACACACGCAGAGTAAAATTAATCCAAATCTAAGCATTACTACAAAAAATTACACTTCAAAATGATTTATAATTTATACCAGTATATATACACTAAACTTTGACATATAACCTAAAATCAAATGAAATCCATTATATTATTACTACTTCATGGAAATGTGCATTATATAATTTCATTTTTTTTTTAAGTTACACTCCTACTGTTACCCAAAATGTTTGTTACACTGTCATCTCTTTTCTCTATTTTGAACTGCTGAATCACAAAGTAGCTAACTATTCCTTCTTAAGGATTTTCATACTTTTGGCTTCTTTTTTCTCCTTTTTGCCACTGCCTCAGGGATTTTCTATCTCTAAAGCATGGGCCAAGGTGGAGGACAATGGCATCACATACTGCACCCTCTACAACCTCGTCGAGGGTGAGACACTGTGCTGTATGCTATGATAAAATTCTTTTCCAGTCATTTAAACTATTTAAACTGTTTGCAGGCAGCGGGCTGGTGGATGCTGCTGGTTATAAGCAGTACACAAATGAATGGATTTGTCTGGACTACTCGACTGCCAACTGCACCATCTACTGATGAGATCTGCTGGTCTTTGAAATTATTTAATACACTGACAAAGACCATAAAACATTTATGAATCGCTCGTCATTCTCCAAATGTAGCTTTTAGTATTTTAGCAGTCACTCTAGATATTCATTGTTGATAATGCATTCTGTTCTCAAACACAGTGATCTTGTCAAGAATTATTGTTTTTCTGACAAATGAACCATAAAAACAGCTGTGTTGAATCTCACCATTTCTAAAGTATTGTTTTTGTTCCAACCTCATTTTTGTAGTTTTATACATATTGGATTTGATCATACTGCACTCTAAAAAAATGCTGGGTTAAATACAACCCAGCGCTGGGTAAAATATGGACAAACCCAGCGATTGGGTTAAACATTTAACACAACTGTTGGTTGAAAACAACCCAATCATTGGGTTTCTCAATATTTTACCCAACGCTTAACCCAGCATTTTTTAGTGTGTGTATACAACATGATGAGGGTCAAACTCAGTCTCCCTTGTTCTAGGATTGAGTGTTCAGGTAATGAGTCTCCTGACTAAAATATTCAATACAAACCTTGTTTTCAATATGGGAGGCAGGTTTTCAGATTTGGCCTGTAAACAACCACCTACACTCGAAAAAATGCTGGGTTAAATATAACCCAGCGCTGGGTCAAAAAGGGACAACCCCAGCTATTGGGTAGTTTTGACCCAGCGGTTGGGTTCAAAACAACCCAACCGCTGGGTCAAAACAACCCAATAGCTGGGTTTGTCCCTTTTTAACCTAGCGCTGGGTTATATTTAACCCAGCATTTTTTAGAGTGTAGCAACACCTTAGCAACCTGGAAAAAAAGCTTAGCAACCACAGAGCAGCACTCTGGTAACCACAAGAATGCAGAGAATGCTAACACTTTAGCATCATGAAGGTGAGTTTCTTCATGGACAAGCATTACTTAGTTTTTCTCTTTAGAAAATGTCTTGTTACTGAGAGTATCTGAGACATCCATTGTCTATTGTGAACAAAAGAGCCTGAGATCTATTAAAGGTGCAGCATGTAATATTGACAGCTAGGGTACTGCAGTCCAAATTCAAAATATTGGAGAGAGTTGTTTTTCCCGCTCCTGCTCCTCCTCAAGTCTCCTCGCTCATGAGGGTTGCCAGATTAAAGACACGCAACTGGCTGTAGCACTGTTTATTGGAGAAACAAATATGTGAACTTAGCATGTTTCCTAAATATCTGCAAAAATATTGTTATTTTTATGCTTTATTGCAGATGAAAAATTACATATAGCATATATAAATAAAATAAAGATCAAATCTGTTAGAAGAAACAAAAGAAGGTTTTGCTGTCCAGACTCAGAGCTGAATAGCATTTGATTCAGAACAACTCATCTTAAAGTTGTGCCATGACACTGCGGCTGATTTACTAAACAATTAAAACAATCACATTCATGTATAAGGGCTCTGTTAAAGCTACAAAGAACAATAGGCTACCATAGTCATGACAATTTCATTGACCTTACTGAAATATGAATACTAGCTTACAATATTAATATTTTTAATAAGTTCTGGAGCCTTTCTGGATGCTTCTCACTGTAATGGAAGTTGTTGCTTTGTGTTGAGAAGGAATGAAAGTTTCAATCTGAAATGACAGAAAGCATTTTAAAACGTTCTGTAGTTTTTTTATTTACATATTCATATAACAGTGCAAAAAAAAAAAATTGAAATATACAGTAAAACAAGTAATAAATATTATAATTTATATAAGGAGCCACTTAAAAGTAATTTTTAATAACTGGTGTTTTGGTGGATGTCCACAGGTGTGCTGGGTTTAAAGTTGAGCAGGGTTTAAAATAAATGCCACTTCATTTGATTATTTTAAATCGAATGCAACAATATTCATACATTTTAAGCATAAGGTGTGTTCAGATTTACCATTGTTGGTAGATTTGCATGAGTTGACCAGCAGAAAGCTACTTGGTTTGAACTTCTGTGTAAGCAGTGCTTCATACATTATACACTAGTGATAATAATGCGTACGAAATTTCGTTAACATGACAGCACATTAGCAAATACTCATCTACTGTATATACTTTAGACATCATAAGATATGTTTTTAGGAAGGTGAAAAAAAAAGACTAAAAAATGTATACCTGACGCACAAGGAGCTCCATCTCAGGTGAGTTACTGGACAGATCAACCACAGATTTGACCGTTATTCTCAAGCCAGTAATTACTGAAGGGCCTATGAGAAAATTGACAAGAATGTGTTATATTAAAGGGGTCATATGATGCGATTTCAAGTTTTCCTTTCTCTTTGGAGTGTTACAAGCTGTTCATGAATAGATAAGATCCCTAAAGTTGCAAATACTAAAGTCTCAAACCCAAAGAGATATTCTTTATAAAAGTTAAGAGTCGTCCACGCACTCCTAAAACACCTTGTTTAAACACGCCCCCACATGTCTACATCACTATGTGGGAAGCAGTATGGTAAGGGACGTAACATTCCCGTCACACGCTTCAGGTATTCGGCCAGTCACAACGCACTGGATAGCTGGCCAATCAGAGCACACCTCGCTTTTCAGAATGATGAGCTTTGTAAAAATCGACGCGTTTCAGAAAGGCGGGGCATAGAGGAGAAACAATAATGTACAGTATGTGGAAAATAATGTGTTTTTTGAACCTTAAACCGCATAAACACATTTCATTACACCAAATACACAAAATAATGTCCTTTTTAGCAAAGTCATATGACCCCTTTAAAACCAAAACTAATCTTCAAATTACAATAAAGCTATATTTCACCCCCCAAACTGAACGTTCTATCATAATTTTTCTGACCTTCATGTCGTTCCAAATATGTATGACTTTCTTTCAAACAGGGTTATAGTTGACAAAAACTAAAACCATAATAAATGTAATTACTAAATAAATAAATAAATGTTAATTGAAATAAAATAAAATATAAAGAACTAGTTTCCAAGGCAACATTTCTCATTTTCATCTAGTTTAACTAGATGTACTAAAATAAATAAAATTAAAACTGAAATAAAAAATTATAAAAACATATTTAAAAACATCAAAAACGAATAAAAACCACACACACACACACACACACACACACACACACACACACACACACACAAACACAAAAACACGCCGAGCAGGC